GGGAAAATTGATTAGGACTCAATTTTTAGACTTTTTTATTTGGACAAACTTTTAAAAAGTTAGGTGGTTATTTAGGCTTTTTAATTCTTCATAGGCCATATTTGATAAGTTGTGTTTTCCCAAGAATGTTCTAGAAAACAGCTCTAAATTTGTTTCCATCAAATTGCTTGTATTACTTGTTAATGTCCATAGGATCTTGATACTGGCTAGTTTTTCCTTTTTAACTTAGCCAGAATTAAATCTTTAGACGTGCAATTTTGTAGTATTGTTCCAGAAGCTTCTTTCCCCTTTTATTCTATTTTTTCTATTAATTGCTATGTTGTTGCCTTTAATCATTCCAGTTTGGAGTTCTCATTTGTTTCATTATTTTAGCCTATATAGAGCCATCTACTCTAAATAACTCTTGTCAGTCTAACTTCTTCAAACCACAGTGCTTCCTTAATTGGATTATATTCCCATTTTACCTACTATTGCTAGCAAGGGAAATAGTTGATTTCTTAGCACCCAAGCTGGACACTCTTGGGGAGATTTCTCAGTGAGATACTGACTGGCCCTGTGTAACTACCCATTCAGCTTTGTATGAATTTGATTATTTTAGACACCTCATGTAGGTGAAATTATACAGCCTTTTCTTTTGTGACTGGCTTCTTAGCATAATGTCAAGGTTCTTTAGCATGTGAAAATTTCCTTTTTAAGGCTGAATAATCCATAGTATGTATGTACCACATTTCATTTATCCATTGATGGACATTAGGGTTGCTTCCATCTTTTGGCTATTGTGAACAATGCTGCATGGAATGTGGGTGTAGAAATACCTCTTGAAGACCCTGATTTTGATTTTTTTCTTTGAACATCTCAGAAGTAGACTTGCTGGATCTTAGAGTAGTTCTATTTGTAATATTTTCAGACAGCTTTATGTTCTGTAGCGGTTGCACCATTTTTATAATCCCACCAATAGTTTGCAGGGATTGCAATGTCTGCACATTCTCACCAACACTTAGGTTTTTTATAGTAGCCATCCTAGTGGGTGTGAAGTGATACCTCACTGTAGCTTTCATTTGAATTTTTCTAATTAGTAATGAGCATCTTGTCACATGGTTGTTTGGCCATTTATATATTGCCTTTGGTGAAATGTCTATTCACATCCTTTGCCCATATTTGAATAGGGCTATTTTTTGTGGAGTTGTAGGAGTCTTTTAAAAAGACATCGTATGGGGCGCCTGGGTGGCTCAGTTGGTTGAGCGTCTGACTTCAGCTCAGGTCACGATCTCCTGGTGTGTGAGTTCGAGCCCAGCGTCGGGCTCTGGGCTGATGGCTCAGAGCCTGGAGCCTGTTTCCGATTCTGTGTCTCCCTCTCTCTCTGCCCCTCCCCCATTCATGCTCTGTCTCTCTCTGTCTCAAAAATAAATAAATGTTAAAAAAAAAAATTAAAAAAGACATCGTATGTGTATATATCTGTATATACACACAATGTATACACACACACATCTCCCCATTTGTTCAGGGAGTTGTATTTATGATCCCTACCATTCCTGTATTTCCATTAGAATGTAATTATCTGGGGGAGAAAATAAAGGTCAGTGGGTTAATGGAGCTTGCCTTTTTTAGTCCATAAATAATAATCAAATATATAATAAGAAAACTACATCCTGCATTTCATCATAGTTCTGATGCTTTTTTTAAATAGGAAGTTTGAGTGAATGGTACTTACTATGGTCCTAACCATTGCAATCTATCAAGTTCCTATAACACTGGTTCACAGCATGCATCTATTAAATTGATACTCATTAATACTACAATGTTGAAAAAATTTCCCATGATAATTTCAAATCAGATTACAGTACATTTAATGGAGTTCAAGGAGCATATCCCAGAATGACTTATTCTAGCAAATAAACAGAAAATCTCATGAGCTTTATCTAATAAGTATTGATAAAGAGATCCATTAAAAAAAATTTAAACACAGATCCAAGCATGTTCTTTTACTTCCATGGTGGCTTACCAACAACAATTGCAAGTAGATGGTGCATCGTGCTTATGACCATCCGGTATCACTAGGCAAGATTCTGCTGCCAGTAGTGAACCTAGTGGAAAAAAAGGAAGACTTTGCTGCCAGCCAAATAGGTGAATATGTCACCAGTATGTGACTCTCAGCCAGAAAGAGCCTAATCAATACTTTCCCTTCAGGTTTCCCGAAAGTATCTAAGCAAAAGCTCCAGAACCTGGCACATCGAGACTTAAAGAAGAGTGGAAACACAGCTGAAGAGCTTTGGAGAGCCATTTGTCTTAAATAATTAAAGATAAAATCCAACCCCCCCCCAAAAAAAATAAAGCACCTGCTGTTATATATCACCATCACCCCAAAACTAAGGCTACATTTCTCATGAGACTTAGAAATATTTTTAAAACAAGGGGATTATGGTACACCGGAGTCTGTTATAAGAGCTGTTAAACACTTGTGAATCACTTTCCTAAAGTAATGAGAATGAACAACTTTGTTTTCCACTTGACGCATGCTTGTGTAACAATGCCCTGAGATTGCCAAACAGAATCACCCGCTGCTCCTGCCTCAAGAATTTGAGCATCACAGCACAACTCTGTGGATGAGCATTTTAACTCTAATTTTATAAACCTAGCAACAAAATAGCTGACCATTTTTCCCAAACGACATGGCAGTTAGACATTTTTTTTTAAAGTTAATTTGAAGGGCATGTGTCTGTCAACACATTATTTCTTCATAACTAGTAATGACAAAAATAATAACGACTGTTTACTAAGTCCTGATCTAATAGCTCTGTGTGAATGGTCTAATCTTTTGAAAACCTGGTCTGGGATGGGTGGTAGAATATACTAACCCAAGATAGGCCGCTTTAGCATACAGATTATTTTGAACTAAAGGCTTTAAAAAGATGCAAAATGGGCTTTCTAATTCTCCTCTTCAGGAAAACAGATTTGTAGATATTTTCTTCCATTCAGTAGTCTTCCTTTTCAGTCTGTTGTGTCTGTCCTTTGGTGCAATTTAAAAATTTGATGTAGTCCCATTTGTCTATTTAGTCATCTGTGCTATGGTGTCCTACCCATCCAAGCAGTCCTTGTGAAATCCAATATCATGAAGCTTTTCTTCCATGTTCTCTCTCAGGACTTTGAGAGTTTGGGGTCTTTTAGGTCTTTAAGATGTTGAGTTTTACAAGCTAAGGCTCTAATTTCATTCTTCTGCATGTGGATACTCCGTTTACTCATCACCTCTTGTCAAGGATATCATTCTTTAACCCATAGAGTGGTCTTGGCACCCTTGAAGATCATTTGACCAAATACATCAGCGTTTATTTCTGGCCTCTGTGTTCTGTTCCATTGATCTATATGTGCTAGTCTTGCTATGCATGGTCTTACATAAGTCTTTTTGTTGACATACTTTCCATAGGTATAAAATGAGTAGAACTACGGGGGTAGGTGTACATATGTGTCAAACTTGAAAATTGCCAAGCGGTTTTTCCAAAGTGGTTGCTGTAACACTTGGTGCTGTTTTTTAAATTTAAGCCGTTTGGGTAGGCAGAATCAGTTTCTTTTTGTCTCGAAGTTGAATTGTTACTGAAGCACTTAGTTATTCTGAAATTTATTCTTAAATACGTATTACTTCTTGTCTCTTCCTACTAGAGTATAAACTTTATAAGGTTCTGTTTGCTCTGCAATTTCTAAATGTTCCTTGATGTAGAGTAGGTATAATGTTTATTTTAAACTGATGAACAAGTCAGAGTATATTTACTTCCTATTGACTCTGAGATTGGTATATTAAGTTACATCTGGGTCTACGAAGTGGATATTTCAGTGGTGGAGTCACCCCCGGATAAAGATGGTAGGACAAAGTTTTAGGGCTATACATGGTTTGCCAAGTTCAGAATTTCCCAATGAGATAAATTTCAAAACATAAGCGCACAGTAATATCAAAGGGCAGGATGGTTTTAAATATTAGAAAAAGTTGACATGTGGAAACCATGCTTAAGGACTTTGATTACTTACAACCATAAGATTACTGCTTATTTAAAATGAAATAATTGTTGTCATACTCTTATATTTCTGTCTAATCCTTATAGTACAACTGAGTCTGAATAGTTTTGGTATTCGCTTTATCAAGTATCCGGGACCTTGGATTTCTTCTTACCTGATTCCTTTGGTCCACTTTTCTGTTAAATACTTGGAAACAGTTGTCAGAAAAAAATACAGAAGACTAAAGGACTTACCCATGGCATCTGTAATTAACATTGAATAATTGGCTGTATTTTTTCATTCCTAAAAAGTTTTATTTTTGAGAGACGGTAAGCAGGGAATGAGTAGAGAGAGGGGCACAGGGGATTGAACGGGGCTCTGCAGTAACACCAGCGAACCCACTGTAGGGTCCAAACTCAGGAACTGTGAGATCTTGACTTGGGCCGAAGTCAGATACAACTGACTGAGCTACCCAGGTGCCCCTGAATTCTGTATTTAAACATAACCAAACAAAAGTAATCAGGTATCTTATAAATCAAATATTATAAAATACAGATCTACAGTTTTTCTGGATTCAAAGAGTTACCAATGTTTCATGGTTTTTCTGTCTGGTGATCTTTACATGATGTCTAACAAAAGGTTTTGTTCTGTATCATACAAAATGTGATTGATCTATAATGAGTTGAAATGCCATTGGCTTGAGCACCCAGTTTACCTGAGGAAAAAAAGGGGGACTCCTCAGTTTTAAATTTTTCTACCGTTAATAAATGCTCTTGAACAGTCATAGCTGTTAAAAAAAAAAAAAACTTGGAGTTTGGTTTCTGTTGGGCCAATCTATGAAAAATAACATTTTATTACTGGGAATAGTAATAAACTGCTGCATCACGGAGTTAAATTTCTTTTTATCTTTTATTTCATGTTGGAAGGTGATGTGTGTGTATTTTTGCCTATTTTGTGCAGTATTTTTAGTCCCACCTAATTTAATGGCTCTGCATTCTATTCTTTTCTCCCCCCAGAAAGTCAAATAAAGAAAATCACTTTACCCTTTCAAAACTACAGCAACACAAATGAAGATCTTAATGTAAAGAAGGAAATGGCTTTAGGGTACCCTTCAAAAAATAAATCATTGGAAGATGAAAGAAGTCAATTACATTCCAGGAAAAAACGTTTTTTATCCTACCCGAGATATGTGGAAGTTATGGTTACAGCTGACGCTAAAATGGTTCATCATCATGGACAGAATTTGCAGCACTATGTATTAACACTAATGTCAATTGTAAGTAAACTTGTCCTTTAAACTTTCTAAGATGTGTAATGTTTCCTTCACATTTATCTGAAAAGTTATTCGAACTTGTTAAAAGATTTGAAAGTCTCTGAAAACACTTAAAGAATAATTTGAGTATTTTCAGTATCCTATATTTTCTACCCTTTGGTGACAGGGAAGATTCTAGTAGCCCTGATATTTCACCCTTTGAATCTGATTATTTTTTTAAAGCTTATTTGTTTTGGGGGGAGGGGAGGAGATTGCTAGCACATGTGCGCAGGGAAAGGGTACAGAGAGAGGGAGAGAGAATCTCAAGCAGGCGCCGTGCTATCAGTGCGGAGCCTAATGTGGGATTCAAACTCATAAACTGTGAGATCATGACCTGAGCCAAAATCCAGAGCTGGAGGCTTAACCAATTGACCCACTGAGCTTTCCGTGATTCTGATTTATATATATATTTTTAACATTCATTCATTTTTTGAGAGATAGAGCCATGAGTGGGGCAGGGACAGAGAGCGAGAGGGAGACATAAAATCTGAAGTAGGCTCCAGGCTCTGAGCAGTCAGCACAGAGCTCGATGTGGGGCTTGAACTCAAGAACCATGACTGAGCCACCCAGGTGTGCCTCCCCACCCCCCAATCTGATTTTTAAATCTTATTTCTGCACAGAAGGAATGGAAACTATTTTGCTATTGCTATACTTGTCAAGTCAGAAATTGGAATAAATCATATTTTATTTTTAAGGTTTTTAATTTTAATTCCAGCTTAATATATTGTTAACATAGTGTTCTATTAGTTTCAGGTGAACATTCAACAGTTCTATACTTGTTTGCTCATCATGATAAATGTACTCTTTAATCTCCATCACCGATTTCACCCACCTCCTTTTCTGGTGGTAATCCTTAGTTCTCTATGGTTAAGAGTCTGTCTTTTTTTTTTTTTTTTTAATTTTTTTTTACCTTTGCTCATTGTTAAATTCCACACGTGAATAAGATCATATTTGTCTTTCTGACTTAATTTGCTTAGCATTATACTCCAGCTCCATCCATGTTGTTTCAAATGGCAAGGCTTCATTTTTTATGGCTAAGTAATATTCCATTACGTGTGTATGTCAGACACATGCACACCACCTCTTTATCCATTCATTTATCAGTGGACACTTGGGCTGCTTCCATAACTTGGCTTTTGTAAATAATGCTGCAATAAACATAGGGGTGCATGTGTCACTTTGAATTAGTGTTTAGGTGTTTTGGGGGGTAAGTACCCAGTAGGACAATTACTGGATCATAGGGCAGTTCTGTTTTTACTTTTTGAGGAAGTTCCACACTTTTTTCTATAGTGGCTGTACCAGTTTGCTTTTCCACCAATGGTGCAAGAGAGTTCCTTTTTCTCCACATCCTCACCAACACTTGTTTCTTGTGTTATTTTAGCCATCCTGATGGGTGTGAGTTGATAACCCCTTGTAGTTTTGATTTGCATTTCCCCTGATGAGAAATTTTGAGCATGTCTGTTGGCCATCTGTATGTCTTTGGAGAAATTCCTGTTCATGTTGTCTGCCCATTTTTAAAATTGGATTATGTGGTTTTTTTGGCTGTTGAATCAATTCTTTATGTATTTTGGATATATATCCATCCATACTCGTACATGGATATGCCATTTGCAAATAGCTTTTTTTCCCTTTCTGTAGGTTGCTTTTTAGTTTTGTTGTTGGTTTCCCTTGCTCTGCAGAGTTTTCTATTTTGATGTCCCAATGGTTTACTTTTGCTTTTATTTCCCTTGCTGCAGGAGGCCTATGTGAAAAAAAACTGTTAGACTGACGTCAGAGAAATTGCTTCCTGTGCTCTCTTCTAGGATTTTTATGGTTTCGTGTCTTATGTGTAGGTCTTTGATCCATTTTGAGTTTATTTTTGTACATGGTGTGAGAAAGGATCCAGTTTTATTCTTTTGCATGTCGCTGTCCAGTTTTCCCAACACCATTGGTTGAAGAGACCGTCTTTTTCCCACTGGATGTTCTTTCCTGTTTTGTTAAAGATTAATTGACCATATAACTATGGGTGTATTTCAGAGTTCTGTATTTGGATCTATTGATCTATAGGTCTATTTTTATACCAGTACAGTACTGTTTTAATTACTACAGCTTTTTAATATAACTTGAAGTCTGGAATTAGGATACCTCCAGTTTTATTTGTCTGCTTCAAGATGGCTTTGGCTACCAGGGTCTTTATCTGTCTCATAGAAATTTTAGGATTGTTCTCTCTCTGTGAAAAATCCTTGGTGTTATTTTGATATGGATTGTATTAAATCTGTAGATTGCTTTGGGTACTATAGACATTCTAAAAAGATTTGTTCTTGCAACCTGTATAAAATGTCTTTCCATTTCTTTAGATTTTCTTGAATTTATTTAATCTGTTTTATAGTTTTCAGAATAAAGGCCTTTCACCTCTTGGATTAAGTTTATTCATAGATACTTCATTATTTTTAGTGCTGATATAAATGGGATTGTGTTCTTCTATTTATCCTGCTTTATTCATGTGTAAAAATGCAACAGATTTCTGTACATGGATTTTTGAATCTTGCAAATTTATTGAATTCACTTATTCTAGTTATTTTGGAATCAGGGTTTTCTACATATGGTATCACTAGATTTGCAACTAGTGTAAGTTTTATTTATTAACAATTTAGATGCCTATTATTTTGTTTCTTGCCTAATTACCGTGGCTAGGACTTACTTCTATGTTGAATAGAAGTCATGAGAGTAGACATCCTTGTTTTGTTCCTGATCTTTGGTTGAAAAGCTCAGTTTTTCCCTGTTTAATGTTGTTAGCTGTGGTTATTTATATAGGGCCTTTACTATGTTGAGGTATGTTCTCTATAAGCCTGCTTTGTTGAAGGTTTTTATGAATGGATGTTGTACTTTGTCAAATGATTTATCTGTATCTGTTGAAATGATATGGTTTTTATCCTTATTGTGATGTATCATGTTGATTTATTTACAAATATTGAACCACCTTGTATCCTAGGAATAAATCGTACTTGATCATGGTGAATGGTTTTTCAATGTATCATGGGATTCAGTTTGCTAGTATTTTGTTGAGGATTTTTACATGTGTTTTCATCAGAGATACTGGCTTCTAGTTCTGTGTGTGTGTGTGTGTGTGTGTGTGTGTGTGGTGTCTTTATCTGGTTTTGATGTCTGGATGATACTGACCTTACAGAATGAATTTCCTTTATTTTTTTCCCCTTTTTTTGGCATAGTTTGAGGAGAATGGGTATTAACTATAAATGTTCAGAATCTTCCTATGAAACCAACTGTTTTAGACTTTTAATGGGAGTTTTTTGATTACTGATTCAATTTCATTGCTGGTAATCCATCTGTTCAAATTTCTATTCTTCCTGCTTCAGTTTTGGTAGGTTATGTTTCTAGGAATTCATTTTTTCTTGGTTCAATTTGTTGGCATGAGTTTTCATAATCTCCTCTTACAGTTGTCTGTGTTTCTTTGATTTTGTTCCTCTTTAATTTGTGATATTTGTGACTTTTTCTGCACTTTTTTTTTTTTAATGAGTCTGGCTGGAAGTTTATCAATTTTGTTGATCTTTTCAAAGAACCAGCTCCTGGTTTCATTTATCTGTTGTATTTTTTTAGTTTTATATATTACTTATTTATACTCTAATCTTTATCATTTCCTTTCTGCTGGTTTTGGGTTGTTTATTTTTCTAGCTCCTTTAGGTAGCATACAGGTAGGTGGTTCAAGATTTTTCTTCTGGTAGAAAGGTAGAACTGTATTGCTATAAACTTCCCTCTTAGGACCACTTTTACTGCATCCCAAAGATTTGGGACTATTGTTTTCATTTTCATTGGGACAAAATGACACTTTACATTATAAATGTATTTATGGAGATTAAAGGACAGGCTATTAGAGAGCTGCTTTAGCAAATTTGGAATGTAAGATCACAGTAGCTATCAGAGTTCTTGACCTGATATTAACATCTATTTTGAGTAGGGGTGGTGGCAGTATCCTGGAACAGAATTCTAGACCTAGTGAAGGACCTAGACTAGTTCTACAGTGGTAGAATTCTATATCTTATATATACCAAATACATACACATACTTAAATCTGTTGTCTGGACTCTTCTGGATTTAGGCCTGTTATTTTGGAGTAATTACTAAAAGCATCTTTCATTCTCAAGAGTCCCCTGGTTTAATTAATGAGTTATATAGTCACCTATTTATACAGATTCAGGTTATCGGAACATATCTCATGGCTGGAAGTACCTTTATTCACATGTAAGGAATTTAGATCTACTTGATGGAACAGACATGGCCAGGATACATCTATTGGTTATTGTAAATTTTTCTTGGCTAGAAATGTCCAGTTCAGTACATTGTTATTTGAAGATAAGACCCTGTTTTTTTCCTTATATATAACATTTTACCTTAAATTCTTATATGTGCTAAGAATAAATGGCCCATGTTGCCTAAGTATAGTATTTGGTACCAAGTAGGCATTCAATAGTTCATGAAAGATAAATAGGTGATTAAAGTAATACTTTTTGGGGGGTGCCTGGGTGGCTCAGTCGGTTAAGTGTCTGGCTTTGGGTCAGGTCATGATCTCCCAGTCTGTGAGTTCAAGCCCTACGTTGGGCTCTGTGCTGACAGCTCGGAGCCTGGAACCTGCTTTGAATTCTAGGTCTCCTCCTCTCTGCCCCTCCCATGCTCATGCTCAGTCTCTCAATAATAAATTGATGTTAAAAAAAAGTAGTACTTTTTTTCAGAATGCATGACACTGTAATAGATGACTCAAAGTGATTTCTGAATTGTGTATAATAGGACATTTTTTGACCTGAGTTTTTAAAATGAAAACAGAGCAATACGTGGAAATTTATCCTGATAACATGTTTTTACTTCTGAATCTGAAGTAACTAAAAGTGTAATTATCTAGATGTATAACTATCTACATCTGAGTTTGGCAAGCTCATTATGAGGGGATTCTAATGAGAGTACAGGCATGGAAG